GATTCAAAAATATTGGACTATTGGCAAATGCAATATATATTGTTCCTCGGGAGTCATATCATCCGGCACAAATCTCCGGTCCGATTTCACATCCGGCACAAATCTCCGGTCCGATTTCATTTCACCGATTTCTTCGACCCAAATTCAATCGCCTTAAGGCTCTCCAAAACCCTAAACCACTCACTCTCCGCATCCTCGTACCGCCCACATGCCACCAGGCAACTCACCATCCTCCCCCTCTGGGAGTGAAACGAGCACGGCGAAGCGGACAACACAGGGGACACGGCGGCCAGGCAGTCGAGGTAAAGCCGGTAAATATCGAAGAGTTCGAGGGCAAATTCGTCATCTAACTTTGAGGGGTCGGCGAGGCGTTTGGGGAGAAGGGATAGCGCGCGGTTGAGGAAGGGGAGGAATTTCTTGGCAAGGGAGCGGAGGGTTTGGGGGGCTTGGGATTCGGTTGATTTTTTGGTTTTTGGGGGGTTATGGAGTTGGGGTAAACGGCTGAAGGTAGGCGGCGACGAGGGGATGAAGGCCGGTGGAGCTGGAAGCTTCAAGTTTTGAAATGATGGCGGTCTCCTCCATGGGTAGTGGAGAGAGAGAGAGAGTGTTGCGGGTTTCGCGTTTGGGGATGAAATGTCGTTTGGTTTTCAGTCTATGGGCGCCAAGACTGCCCTTCTCGGCTTATTTCAAAATTTTAGCAAACGAGATCATTTTCATGGTTCTCATAATTATTGTTAATCTAAACTACATATTAATAAAAAAAATTATCAACTAAAAGATGACGAAATGGATATTTAATTTTTTGTCACAACAACAAAATTAAAAGCAGTAATGTAATTTCACATAAAAAAAAATTGTTTAAACTCTCGTCTACAAATGATTTTTAACGTCTCTAATTTTTAAAAAATATATAAAATAAATCTCTTTGTCTCTCCTCCTCTCTCCCAATTTAACGTTCTCTCACACTTCTTTTCCTTCTCTTTCAATTTAAAAAAATGAAAATAAAAAAATTTCACACTTTATGTGTGGACATATACTAATATATTATTAAAATTGTTAAATTTGAATTCAAACATTGCAATGAATATTATTAATATATTTTGTTAGAATTGTAACTCTTATTAATTATATACAAAATCAAAAAATTAAAAAAAACTAACACGCGAACCCTCACGTCCCATCATTCTACCGTCACCCCTCCCCAATCTCTCTCTTATTCTTCAGCTGTTACCATCAACTTTCTCTCGCTCTTCTCTACTCTCACCTGTCCCCAATCTCTCTCTCCCTGTCACCTTACCGAGTCCTTGTCCCAGCTAGTTTACTATTGCACTCACACTATGTTCTTCCTCATTCACAAATCCCGGTAGTTGACCTTTCCTCTTTGCAAAATCCACTTCAAAATCCACTTATTAGGATGGATTCTATGGAACTAGGTTTCTTTCAGGTACATGCATACATATATATACTTCCTGCTATTGTGCATCTGCATATCATGCACCTTGTATCTTATAATATACGTAATTATATATAATATTTTCCAACCCAAAATTGTCAAAACTACTAAAATACTACGTCTTTCATATATTCATATATTGCACGTAATGTGTTATATGTCAATGTGGTACATGGTGACCACTATTTCTAAGAATAGTGTCATTGTCTAGAAATGATGACCATTATTTCTTTAAATATTATTACTTAGTTTCTTTTAAAAGAAAACTAACGAAAAGTTCAAAAAAACTTCATTTTTAATGAAAAACACTTTTTAAAGGTATAGTGAATAGTGTCAGGTAAAGGTAAAAATGTGGTTTTTCGTTAAAAGTGAACAGTACCGGGAGTGTTTTATTAAAACTCCCTTGTTTTAAATGATGCAAGGTTGTATTATTTAACTCATAAGACATGACATAAACTCAAAAAAAATTGCCCAAACTAAAATGTTGTTTCCAAATTAAAATCAACACTCATTAAAGCTCCCTAATTATTTTCCATATTTCTAAACATATGTTAATAAATGCATTCCTCATTCCCACCTCTATCCTCGTTAATTCATACTCCAAAATACATAGATCTCACACGTCCCGTATATACCGTGCTTATACTACTCGTCCCCTTGTGTGTTGGTTATATGTGAATTAACACCCATGGATTCTACGTAGGGGGTTGAATTCTACGTTTCCATTCATCACGACGCAAGCCCATATAAACCACATGACTCATATATCGATCCCTCTCAAAGTTTACACTGCATGATATATGTCAATCAATTACAATAATATCAACAAGAAGTTCATGCGATCTCATGCATATTATCTAAGTAATTAAAGCGATTGAATGAAAGCTAAACATTCGTTTCAAATTAATGATTCCGATTATTCAAACAATTATCAACATGTCAATTCACAAATAAAACTGCTCCTTATTTTAGGAAAAATAGGCAGCTGCACAGTTTATTACCAGCATGCGGTGTAGCCACCGTAGTAGTAAGTATCATTACATAACTCATTTAGGGCACGTTTGGTACACAGGACGGGATGGAACAGAGTGGGACGAGGCGTTCCGTCCCACGTTTGGTGCGCCTAAAACGAGTGGGACGAGGCGTTCCACGGGACAAGTTTTGGATGATTTTTGGTTCCACCTCCCCCCTGGAACGGCTTGTTCCATGTCCGTGGGACACAAATTTTTAACATTTTAAGATAAAAATGCTCCTTGTCTTTTTCAAAATTTACACCATTCAAATCCTAAAAACAAACCCTAAATCCATTCTCTGCCGCTGCTCTCTCTTCCTGTAGACTTCCTCCTCATCCTTCCTCCTCATCCTTCTTCTTCATCCTCTCCCATAGCCGTCAACTGCACCCAGGCGGCACTCAGCAGCACGGAGCCACTACCGTTGCACTGCAGATTGACCCAGCTATACGATTGATATCTTTTGTTGCTGATTTGGATTGTGTTAATTACTGGGTTTTGTTAATTATCAGATTTGATTTGTTAATTACTGGGTTTTGTTAAGATTTGTGCAACTGGGAGTGCGAGTGCATTCTTCGCTGGGTTTTGGGTTGGACGGGTCATGCTGGGTTTAGGCAATGAAAACAGTGGGTGGGGTTTAAGACCCCATCTGAGTAGTATTACATATATGGAAAAAAATCAATGTCCTAGGTAGACTTGGCATTTAAGACCCCATCTGTTAACCCGACCCAGCTCATTCGTTAAGATTAATGTTTTGGTGAATGCTTAATGAGTTGGATTGTTAACGGATGGACCAGTTAAATAACAGGTTATTTTGGATCAACCATTTAATTAGGTCCGTTACCACATCCATTAATTGAAGGTGTTTTTGTGCACTTTCAATAAAGACGTAACAAAAAAAAAACCCGATTCTTTGTCTCGCACTGTCACTGCATCTGATAACTTCCAACTTCTTGAACGTCTTTCAATTCCGTCGTTTGTGCTCTGCTTCGCTCGTTGCTTCCATCAGATTGTGGGAAGAGTACACTGACAGATAAATTAAGTTTTTCCTCATCTCCGTGGTTTCCGTCGTATGGTCTCTCTTTGTATCTTATGGAGGAAACGATGTCTTTCTGGTGCGGAGCTTGACGGCGGAAAGATAAATATGATTGTTGGTATTTTCGATTCAATCGCCGGGTTACTCAAATCGGTTCTTTCGAGTTGGAGTCCAGAGTGATTTAAATTTTCATTTGGATGTATCATTTTTTATTTGATAAATACGATTTATCTTTCCTTATTTTCCTTAATTTCTGATGCAAAATTAAAGAAACGGGTACTGGGTAGTGAGAAAGTATAGGGAGAGGGGAGACCGTGAAGAAAGATGAGAGGGTAGAAATCGGTGTTGGAGCTGCAAGGTTGAACATGTGTTTTTGGTATGAGATTTGTGTGTTTGTTGGAGTCTCAGATGAGATTTGAACGGTGGTGCTGGAAACTGCATATTTACAGAGAGAAGAATTTTGTTGCAGACTGTCTAGCCAATTGGAGCTACAACTTTGATCTGGGTTTTTGTTTTCGTGAAGAACCTCATGTTTGGAATGATGATCCTTTGTCTGATGATATTTTGGGGTTTGGTAAAAACCGCCTAGTTTGTACTTCTCAGATAGTTTTGTGTTTTTCGGTGTACCCCCACATTACCCAAAAAAAAAGATAACCACAATTAAATAAGTTGCTGAGTAGTAATCCAGATATGAAGAAAATCAATTTGCTAGGGGACCAAACCTCCGTGTTAGCGGGATCAACACTGATGCGAGGCTGCGGATACCCTTTATGCTTGAAAAGAACCAGCCTTCGGAAAACCTCGGTAATTCCAGAAGCAGTGCGTATTTGTTCCCAAAACTTTTCCTCGGCCTTGGCCTTTGCCTCCTCTGTATTAATTAGAAAAATAAAATAGATTCAATAATATTGGACTAATGGCAAATGCAATATATAATGTCCCTCGGGAGTCATATCATGCATCCACAACCGACCATTTTTCTTGTTGGCAGATTGTAAGCTGTCCCTCAAGCTTGTTGAGGATGAAGCTCATTTTGTGAGAAAAAATGGGATAGATCATATGACTTAATGTCCCTGAAATAATTTAAGAGCAAATCAAATGATAGTCAGATATAAATAGCAAATTTATAATATACCAAACCTTAAAGATGTTTCAACTGCAAGAAATCTGCCAGTTTTAAATTTGGATTATAGCAAATTTGACTTAATGTCCCCGAAAGTTTGGATTGCAAGAAATCTGCCAGTTTTAAATTTGAATTCCAACGGCTAGTTTTAATTTATGTCAGTGGTAAGGTGTGGACTTAGTCTCATAGGACAATTGTATGCACCATATTAGTTTCCTAATTGAAGGGCTTAAATTGCTTTTAGCTAATTGTCTTTGTTCTGTAGTGAGGAAGAAGAGATAAGATTGTACAAACAACCAATTTTTGAATCAATGAAAATATCTTGCAGTGCTGCTACGATTAGCTCCTGCAATTCTCTCTGAAATTCTCTGTGTGTCGTTCTTCATTCCTTGTTCTTAGAAATTACATCACAAAAACACTGTCAAATATAGATTTTAACAAAAGAACCCTTCTAGTTATAATATATATATATATATAACCCGTATACGTAGTTGGCAAGAAGAATTGTTTTTGTTTTCTTTTATCAAATCTTAATAGAAAAATTAGTACAAGAACTTACTCATCACCGGTAAGAAAAAAGAGCTCAGTTGCGCAAGCTACAAGAGAGTTATGATTGACCAGTAGGCATTAAATGGGGTATCCATAATTACCCTCGCCAATTTTGGTTCACTGTCTCGATCATAAGAAACTAGTTTCTCCAACTCAAGGATGTGCTCAATCACTTGTAACGCTTGGTTGACCAGATTGTTAAGCTCGACTACTGCATCTTGGCGTTTCAGCGTTGTCGATTTCTTGGAAAGTTGACTGGAACATTCTTCATATTCCAAAGCAAAAACTGCCAGGGCCAATACTACCTGTACTTCACATGGATAACTCGATAGTTTTGTAAGTATTTCTTCCGTACGTGATTCAAAGGAAGTTTCATCACCTGAACTCTTACACGACATCTGAAATTGCATCATAGTGTTGTTAACAACATAAAACGGGACAATAGGATTTTCATCTTTGGATAAAACACTTTTCCATTGGAAGGTGCATCAATGAAGCTATGATTAAAAGTGCTAAAAAAATAAACTAAAAAATCTAATTAATTTAACATCAAACTTCAATCAAAGATATTTTGGTAATGACATTTATGTCTTAAACAAAAATTAAACAACATTTTCATTTTCACCAGTAATTACTAAAAGGATTACCAAATTAAGAACAAAAGGAAAATAGCATTCAGTTAATATGATGACCTTGCAGCCAAAGGAGTTAATAATAAGAAGAGATTTTTTTAAAGTGCCGGGAATATGGGTCGGTACACCGAGTGTCATAAAACAAGTTGTTGAAATTTTTTTTTATCCAATTTCCAACCACTCGTATTATGATACTTGAGGTACCGAATCGTGTTCCCGTCACATTTAAAAAATTTCTCCTTAATAAGAGTGCACAAGCTGGAGCTGGCTTTGGGTGTTTCAACATCATTAAATCCGCTGCCCTGCGATAAGACATGCAAAAGTGGTAAACATCTTTGGGTGTTTCAACTAATATCTAATTATTCTTAAACACTAAGACATTACTGAAGTGCATTTCTTTAAACATTTAATCTGAGTTTTTTTTTTTTTTTTTTTTTTTTCACAAATCAAGCAATCCTATTGATGGAAAAGGATCCCGCGAGGATCCTTTTCCTATGGATCCTAGAGATCCCGCAATCGTATTCGTTTATCTTGTGTAGTGAGAAATTATTTAAAATTTAAAATTCAAATATAAAAGTACCTAACGAAAACTAACTCCATAATGTATGATGAACGGACACGATTGCGGAATCTTTAGGATCCCTAAAAAAAATGATCCGGCGAGGATCCTTGTCCTATACATGTAACATTTTGGCTATTTTTGGGTACTGCTGATCAATAAATCGAGTCAAGTTTCAAGTTTGCAATTAGAAGTTTGTCCGTAGTGTAATTCTCATAACATAACAGTCAGAACGGGAAGAAACAAAAAACAGTCGTAAGGAAAAAATATAAAAAGAAGAAAAAAAAACACGAACAGTTTAGAGTTGTCGAGTACCCACTATTTAAAAATAAAAAATAAATAAAACTAAATGAGCACTATTTTCTTACTGCTTAAAGTTATTAAGAGTAGATAGAAAGGAGCAGCAGTATAAATACCTGCTCATTAATATTGTGAATGATGTTGGCCGAATCCTTAATGATTTTCTGACTAGTCGAGAAAATAGCATGAACATCAAAGCTGGCATGGCCCTCATCAGGAACACGGTAATTCACTGCAAAAATGAGCTTCATGATTTCGTTTTGAGACCTGTCGAAAAGGCTGATCCGTTCACCACCCTCACCCTCACCCCCATTCATCCTCTTACTCATCCGCTCCTTCTCTGTTTTTCTGGTGCACCCTCTGTGCTCTCAACTCTCTGCCAATTTTGAGCTCTGCGTAGCTCTCTCTTTTTTCTCTCAGAAAACAAAAGACCACACTATTCTTTTCACCAAAGAATGGTGCTTTCACGTTTCCAAAAAAAAAAAAAAAAAAAAAAAAAAAAAAGAAGAATGGTGCTTTCACATTTTCCTAAAAAAAAAACAAAAAGAATGGTGCTTTCACCGAAAACATAGCCTTTTTCCATTTGCAAAAGTCAAAAAGAAAAACAAGCATTGTCCCCTTGATGTCTCCCCTTTTATTTCTTAGAGCAGTTCTATCGGGGAACCTTTAGGCTGGTACCCGCTAAATTATTGGCCCAGTATCCAGCCGAGCAGATAGGCTGGCACCCCAGTATTAGGGACAAAAATGTAATTACACCTTCAAGGGATAATACTTCGGGATTAAGTAATGATAAGGAATATTAAGTTAGTTTTGGTAGTGATTCCTTTTATGTTAAGCTGTGATGCTTTTGTATAAAACCCAAGTGTAAAGTTATTCTTTTGAGTAATGAAAAATATTTCCTAATACCAGCCCAAGCTGGTATCTAGGTTGGCTCAGAATGTGTTGAGCCCTTGTGTGGAGTCCCATAATTTTTCTGAATTTTATACACCTTTTTCCTACGTGCTCATTTTGATTAAACTTTTAGACTTCTCTTTTATTTAATCTTGCTTAAAGGGGGACATCTTTTTTTTAACTTAGGTTAGTTAAGTTTGGGTTGAAATTAATTTACTACGAACCTTATAAAATGGTTATTAACTCTTTTGGACTAGGAAAGTGAGGTCAAATGGCTTTCTTGGAGTGGCAAAGTTTGCCACGTAGTTCACTCCATATGCCGACCCAAGGACATTAGATTAACTTGTTGGTGAAAAGAATGTAGTTGAGGTGTTATCATGTAGGGCTTTTAGGGTGCTTAGTAAGCACCTTAGCGTGATGACTATTGAAGCCTAGGTTGGTGATTAAGCAAGCCTATAGCTAACGTGGAATGGTGGAGTAGCATTTGATGTTGAAACTGATAACCAATGAGAACCACTTTGCCGCCTTATTTATGGTATAAATAGGAGCAATGCTCCATATGTGTTAGATTTTTCCTCTTGCAAAGTGCAATACGCCCCGTATGTAGAAAGTGTGTAAGAGAGTGTTAAAAAGGAGATAAGCAAAAGAAGTACTCGTGGAGTAAGAAGAGAGGATTCAAGGTAGGGGAATTTGGGGAATTAATTGATTGCATTTGTTACTTGTATTACGGGAAATATTGTTATGTGGACTTGAGATGTATTCAACTATTGACTTAGATATGATTGTTATGTGGTATATTATATATTGGCATGATCATTATCATTTGTCAAAGAAGTAAAGGAGTTACTTGTGTTGTGGGAAAAGGTGGAAATTAGCTTTTGTGTAGTTGAGTCTGCTCATTGTGAAACCAGTTCCAGGCGAGCCCGATGTGCACAATAGAATAGGATATTGACGGAAATTGTCGATGTGGGTGATTTGGGCTGGAGATCAATGAATCAGATAAGATGACTAGCAAAAGGGATTATGAACTTGGGTGAGTTGATGGGGGTTATTCTATATATTAAAGCACTCGGGGCCACAGTGGTAAAATGCATGGTATGGGACATGCAGGTCTGGTTGCTTCAATATATAGGTTAACGGGTTGGGTAGAAAAGAAGTATTGTTCTTGCATTACATTATTCATAAAATATTCATAACATTCATAATATTAATCACGTGAGACCTTGGGCCCCTACTGAGCTTTTAGCTCACCCCTTATTAGTTGTGTTACAGGAGAAGAGACAGGAATCTAGTGGCTGACTCGGAAGAAAGAGACTGCTTATAAATAGTTTAAACTTGTTATGGAGTAGTTGTCGTTTTCTCTTACGTGTAATGACAATGTAAATTATTTTGTTTAATGAAATGTTTTAGTTCAACACAGACACCTGTTACTACCTTTAAGTTACCCTTGTTATTCATGCTCCAAAAAAAAAAATAAAAAAAAATAAAATTTTAGGGCGTGACAAATTGGTATCAGAGCATTAGGTTTACAATCCTTTGAGTTAGAATTTCCAGTTTAAGTATTCTTACCTTTAAGAAGGAAGTTTTGTTTTGTTACAAGTTTGACAAGCTGTTATACAATTATTGTATTCTAGATGTCTTATTTCTTTATGGCCTTGACAGATACAATGGAGTCTAATATAAGTGATGGATCGTGTGGAGAATTCCACCTCTCCTATTATGGGTGTATTCCAACAAATCCTGATCGATATAAAAGCCTTATTCGAAGTGCCACCCGAGATCTGGTTAAGGAGATAATTAAACAGACCGCAATTAGAAGGCGCAATTACACCTTTCAAGCCCAAAAGCGTATTGCAAAGCATAGCATTAGAACAAGAAGGCATGTTGTTGAAGCTGCTGATGATGGAATCAATAATGATAATGTTTACAATTCCGTAGTAGTGGAACTTATAGAAGAGAATGGAAATAGGTGGCCTCCAGTAGATCTCGAAAATCCTTTGGCTAGAGAACCACCAAATGAGTCAGTACAAAAGGAAAACGAAGGTGGAGAAGAAGATCCAAGTGAAAGTTCAATTAAAAGTGCTACACCACCACGACATACACCACCAGAAATGATCATCATCCATTCGGATGAGGAAGATTAAAAAGGACGAAGAAGGTGGTAGTTGTGTAAAAATAAATGCTCTCCAAAGTCTTACAAACTGACTACTAGTCTTTTGTTGTAAAATAGTAAGGCAGTGGGAAGTAGAGCATAAGACCTTTTGTTGTAGCATAGGGTAAGTTAGTTAAAATAGTTTGAACAACTTTTTGCTGTAAAATCGTATAAATGTTAGTAAATATATGTTTTCTTAATTGTCTTGGTATTACCATATACTTTATATTATTATGATTTCTTTCTTTCTTTTATTTTGACATAATTTCTTTGTTGGATTCGAGATGGCAAACAATCAAAATGAGTTCAACGGAAATGTCGAAGTAATTTTAGCTATTCAGGATATGGCCACAGCAATTAGAGAAAGTAATAACCATAACCAATATCATGAAACTGAAGAAAATCGAGTTATGAGAATACAAGGAGAATTCCGCAAGACAAAACCAACTATATTTAGTGGTGAGCCAAATCCTATAGCCGCTGAAGAATGGTTGAGGCAGATGAAGAGAAAAATGGATAACCAAAAGATTCCAGAAGACGTTCGAGTGATTGTTGCTTGTACTTATTTAGAAGGACAAGCATACCATTGGTGGGAGTCAATTTTAAGTATTCCAGATACACAAGTTACAACTTGGGAAGAATTTGAGACTATCTTCTTAGAAAAGTATTTCCCAAGTACTTTGAGGAGTATGAAAGCAAGAGAGTTTGTTAATCTCGTACAAGGAGAATTAACTATTGTTGAATATGAGGCTAAATTTGAAGAGCTTATGCGTTTTGCACCTTATATGATTCCCGACGATACCGCAAAAGCAAGGAAATTTGAAGAAGGGTTGAGACAATCAATCTTGGAAAAGGTGGAAATTCTAAAGTTAAGCAGGTATGCTGATGTAAAGGAAAGAGCGTACATAGCGGAACGGTCTGAAAATAAGAGAATTTCGGATCATAAGGACTTTAGCAGTGAACATACCAATAAGCGGACAAGATTTAATCCTTTTCCGTATCAACCACTGGGAAGCCAAGAACCGCAAAAATGTTATCACTGTCAGCAAATCGGACATATTAAGAAAAATTGTCCACGACAACAAAGGAATCAAGGACCTCAAGTGCAATATCGTGCCCCCCAAGTACAATTTTATACTCCACAAACACAATTTCGTGCACCACCACCTCAAAACTATGTCCCTTATCAAACTCAAGGAAATTGGCCAAGACCACAAGTTATTCAACAGTCACAACGTCTAGAAGGGCAATTTTCACAAGCCAGACCAAGAGCTCCTCCAAATAAGAAATCTGGACAACTCACACAGGGACGAGTTTATACTATAGGAAATGTGACAAGTCAAGCTGAGCATGAACTAGTGGAAGGTACGTTTCTAGTTTTCAACTCTTCAGCTAGAGTATTATTTGATGGTGGTGCTACACACACTCGTTTATATCAAAAATGTTTTGCATCTACTCTTGGGTTAGAAACTCAAAACATGGAATTTTCTTTGTTAGTTGGGTCTCCTTTGTGTGGGGAGCAAAGAGGTTGCTAAAGTGTGTAAATCTTGCGAGATAGAAATGTCAAACTATAGAATTCCTTTTGATTTGAAGATATTAGACATGTTGGAGTATGATATTATCTTAGGAGTGGATTGGCTTAAAAAATATGAGGTTATAATTGATTACAGTACGAAGAAAATTACAATAAATCCTCCTGAGGGGAAAACTTTCAGTTTCTATGGGGATAAGCAGCCTCACAAAGTGCATAAAAAGAAACTTGATTATTTGGGCTTGTTAGCCAACATTATAACCGAAGAAATTAGTGGGTCACAAGAAGAATTAATTCCTATCATAAAGGAATTCATTGATGTGTTCCCCGAAGAGTTATCTGGATTGCCACCAAAGCGTGAAGTGGAGTTTGTGATAGAATTACACCCAGATTCAAAGCCTATTTCTATACCTCCTCATCGAATGGCACCAGCAGAACTGAAAGAACTCAAAAAGCAACTTCAAGAACTTCAAGAGAAAGGATTCATTCGGCCCAGTGTTTCACCTTGGGGTGCTCCTGCATTATTTGTGAGGAAAAGTGATGCAACCCTTAGATTGTGCATCGATTATCGGTTGTTAAATAGAATCACTATAAAGAATAAGTACCCTCTACCTAGGATTGATGATTTATTTGATCAGCTGAAAGGTGCACAATATTTTTCAAAGATTGATCTCCGATCAGGTTATCATCAACTTCGAGTCAAAACAGAAGATATTCCTAAAACAGCCTTCAGGACTCGTTATGGGCATTATGAATTTCTTGTTATGCCTTTCAGATTGACAAATGCACCAGCAGCATTTATGGATATGATGAATCGAATCTTTCAACATTGCTTGGATCAATTTGTGATCGTATTCATTGATGACATTTTGGTTTATTCTAGAACCAAAGAGGAGCATGAGG